TTTACATTTAAAATAATAACTTACTAATTATGTTTGTATTTAAGTTAACAGAACTTCCATTACAAGGTTTAATATTGATTGGGTTTTTTGTCGTTTTAGTATTTGACATGGAAAAGTTATCAACTGAAAAATACAGTTTAATTTAATAATTATTTTTTTGAGTGAACATTTAGGTTTACGTGACTAGTTAAGGAATTACTAACTTATTTTGTTTTTATTAAAATTAACATAACTTCCATCACAAGGTTTAAAGTTGACTGTTTTCTTTTTTTTTGGAATATTTGTTTTAGAATCGTCATCTAAAAATATAAATTGTTATATAATTATAATATTAGATACAATGATTTTGTTAAAAGGGATAACTTACTTATTTTGTTTTTACTAAAATGAACATAACTTTGATCACAAGGTTCGAAGTTGAGTGGTTTTTGTGTTGTTGTAGTGTTTGACTTGGGGACATTATCAACTGAAAAATAAATATAGTTAGATCCAGAATTAGGAATTTAATAAAAAACATATGAATCACAAATAGAAAGAAAATCACTTTAAATTCATAGATATATGAAATTATGAAAATACATTTTAACAGAACTAATTAAGTAATTAATATTTAATTTGAAAGCACAAATAGAAAGTAAAATATTAAAATTGTTTATAAGGAAACCTATATTATAAAAAAAAAACAATTGGACGGTGCAAAAGGAAATAAGTACAAAAACACTGTTTTCAGTTTTGAGAATACTAAAAAAAACCGTTCCTATTTGTACAATGACTGATTACTTATTCCTTTTTTCTCATAGGTTTTATAAAAAAATTAACCTACAATTTGTTTAATTTTCTAGTGCCAATCAATGTAGATTAAAATATTCTACAAGAATATTCAATAAAAAAAAAAGATAGAAAAAATGGACTTATTATCTTTTACCCGGGCACCGTCCAATTAAATAGATAATTAATTTAAAAATATTTATATCAAATGAGTTTTTAATTTAAAGGACATCACAACACTAAAAACTAATTTCTTTAGATTTAAAGTATGTCATTATCTAAGGAATATGGTTTGAGGCTCATACTTTAACAATAATTATTCAATGAGATTTAGGCGTTTGAAAATATGTATGTGACATCCTACTAAACTATATCGATTATACTAATCCTATATTTTTCAAGTGTAAAAGTGTCAGGATTAACACAACAATTTAAATTGTTAAAGATAATATTTTCGAAATTTTTATTCTTTTTAACCCTAAGTGTATTTTTGTGTTTGACACTTGTGTGATTAGTTTTAGATTCTGAGTGGAAAGATGAATGTATTGATTTTACAATGATGTGTGTATTTATTTTTATTTTTTTTTGTGTCTGTCATCACGTTTTAGGACAATAAAAGTGCTTGGATTTTCTTCAACAGTAGCTTTTCTGATAGGAAAGTGAATCTAGTTGGTACTTTGGGGGGTGAAAATCTCCCAGTAGTTTTCAAAAGTGGCGTGAAAAACAAAATAAAAATTAAGGGAAAACGGAAATTTTTACACTAAAATATGTTTTTGAAAAAATCGATTTTGGTTTTTGGTGCAACTCTTAAACAAATGACCGGAGGTACATGAAATTTTGCCTGAATGTTTATATTAGCATTTTCTATACACGATAACATTTTTAAAATGTTTTGATTTACTTTGAACTGATTAGGCACATTTTCATTTTCCATTTTTTTTTCTAAAAATATCAATAAAATTTTATTTGTTTGTTAAAAAAGCTTGAAAATTTAATACAAGGCTCCTAGTATATTATGTTACAATGGAATTTGAAAAATATTAAAAATCCTTAGTCACAGTTTTTTTTATAAGCATTTAAAGTCCAAAAATTGACAAAATATGGATAAAACACGAAAATTAACAAATTATTTTGAGTTAAGAATTCGTAAAAGTTTTTCTTTTTAAATCTAAGATTTGAAAATGTACTACAAGATTACTCATAAGTTTGTAAGTCTCTACCGGAAAGTCAAATTAAATTTGTATGAGTGTTTGAAATTCAAATTTTTACAACAATAGATTTCTCATGTAACGATTTCCTTATTTTGTTCTAATTCAAAAACGAATAACTGTAGATACATGAAAATTTCACTAAATATTTATATTAGCATTTTCTATGAACCATACAATTTTGAAAATGTTTTGACTCTTTTTGAGCTGTTTACGGATAATTTCAGTTTCCAATTTTTTTAGTTTTTTATTCTATAAATATCAATAAAGTTTTATCTGTTGGGCCAAAAAGTGTAAAAATTTAATACAAGGCTCCTGATATTATATTGTTACAATATCAGTTGAAAAATATTAAAAATACATAGGCACAATTTTTTTTTATAAGCATTTAAAGATCGAATTTTGACAAAATTTATCAAATTTAAAATTAAATAATTATTTTGTAGTTAAAAATTTATAAAATGATCAACTTTTATATCTAAGGATTGAAATTTTAAAACAAGATTCCACGTAAGTAGTTAATTCTATTACCATAAAATCTAAAAAATATATACACACAGTTTATTTGTATGGTCATTTGAAGTTCAAATTTGGATGAAATTACATAAAAAAAACCTAGAATAACTATTTTAGTTATTTCGTTGTGATTGTATAATATTATTCGTGGGTACTTGAAATTTCTAAAGTACACTATTATATATCTATGGAGTATGGACTATGATGTATCAAGGTTGGTTGTTATTTTACCGCGTTATAAGTTTAAACCCTCCTAATGGATATTGTGATATGATTAATTTGAATTATTATAGCGACTATACTCATTGTCACCATTTATATAGGTCAATTGTAGATCGTATTAATGAAACAAATTATTGTATTTTCAATATTATTAGTGGCAAAGTAGCCATATTGCATGATACAGTATGTTACTATTATTAAATAACAGTAGAAAAATTCATAATATAATAATATATCTAATATACACCCTGTATACGTTCATATACATTTTCTTGGGAAGGCCGTCAAAAACAACGATTATCAGTATCTAATAATAACGAAAACTCAAACCAATTATAGATTTAAATTTAGAGTTTATTGTCTACAGCCTGTGTACATTTCAGAGTTTATTAAAATAAAATCGATTAAATTATGGCGGATACAAACGTACATATTACTGACGCGTAAACGCGTCAATGGCCCAATGGAATAAACTATTATAGATAAGTATATAATATGCCTCATACCTAGACTGACATACCGTCTCCGCTCAGAATCGTTTTTCTTATACAATGATATTATATCATTGAATTCAAATTTAATACTATCCATTATACAGTGACCCACTTGTAACCTACTGTACAGCAGAGCACCTTTTTTATTTTATTTTATATTATCAAATTAAATTATATTTTATAACTACCAAGGTAGGTAGATTTTTTATTTTATTAATTGTAGATAAAACTTTTATTAAATTTTGTAAAAATTGGTTTAAACGGTAATACAACGCGAGTTTTAATAATTGTACTTAATTATAACTTATAACATGTTTACAATAACAAAATATATTACATTTTAAATCATCTTACAATCGTTTTAAGCACATAAATATAATAAGGATAAAAAAAAAAAATTCTGAAATACTATCGTAAGTAATAAAAATCATTGTGTAAATCAAACTACTTTACACGTAAAACATGGGAGGCTCTATAACGTCACGTGGCTATTCATAAACTTTCATTATCTTGTTAAATAATCATTTTTACCAAAAATGTTTTCATTATTAAGACTACAATAATAAATTCACCAATAAACTTAAAATTAAAAAGAAATTTAGTGTTGTGATTGTTCTTCAAGAAACATTATATTGGTATACATTATACCAAATTCATAATTTATTTTCTCCCAAATTCACAAAAAAATATTAGAAAAAATTCTGCATTTTTAATAGTTGTATCTTAAATTTTACTTATTTGGAACCAGTAAAACCACTAAATTCACTAGATCAAATTATATATAATAATGTTTTGGTGAATATACATTGATATTCTGAAAAGAAATACTTACTTGTTTTGTTTTTATTAAAGTTGACATCATTTTCATTACAATGTTTATGAGAAATTGTATAATTTTTTGTTGCACTATTTGATATAAAAGCATTATCAACTAAAAAAATAAATAGTTACATGAAATGATTTTTTAGTCTAAAAATATACAGCATAGATTCTATGCTGTCCCCACTCTCTATGCACAAGCCAGACGCCAATTATATTTATTAAACTGATTGCTGAATACAGTATATATTTTAGTTATTTTAAAAATAATTACTTACTTATTATGTTTTTATTAAAATTGTCATATTTTTCATCACAAGGTTTAAGATTAATTGGTTCATTTTGTGATGTATTATTTGATGTTGAATCATTATTGTCTAAAACATTAAGATAGTTATGAACAAAAAATATATCTTAAATAGCGGTTTAGCTTACTTTTAAATGTATGCATTATGTCTAATGGTTTAATATTAGAATTAGAAGATTGAATATTAAATTTGATATCTTTTTGACTTGGTTCTGGCAATTTATGAGCTGGAAACAACAATATTACAGTAAATTATATTCAAATTGTTAGTATTAAGAGTATTACCACTTGTATTATAATCACAGCATTCAGTAAGGTATTCTACGTCTACATAGACATCTTTAAGCATACTTAAAACGCTTGGCGAAATGTGATCATTCTCTTTTGATTCAATGAATTTTTCATATTTTTTATTAATTAAAGTAGAATTAAAGATTGGTTTATGCTCTCTTGATTGAATGATATTTTTGTGCTCTTTGGTAATAAGCATATTTAAAATATTGGCTTCTAAATGTTTTTTACGCAATATTTTTTGACGAACTTTTTTAGCATTATTATTAAATGCAAAATGCTTGATTTTAGAAGTAAATATCTTATTATCATCGTTGTTGAAACTAGTAAAATTTTTACAATAGCATTGGGAATAAAGATCTGAAACAAAGAAATTTAACAACCTAAAAAGAAATTTATTGAGAACATTGGAGTAGTTATACAAATTTGTGTAGTATCTGTTCATTATCAATTTAAAAATAGACTAATAGATAAAATATTACTATAAGTCTTACTGTTATATTTTTTTGAATAACTATCATAAGAAGAACTTAAATTGTCATTTTTGAGTAAACAATTATGATTTCCTTTATTATTAAAAGATTCGGTTCTTTTTATTTTTATCTCATCTTCAATTACTGTATGAAAATACTGATCAGGTTCAATCTGATCTGGGGAAAGATGACAAGTGCTATTATTTTCAGACTTGGGATGATTTTCTATAGATTGACCTAAAAATAAAAATATATTTCTTTTTTAGTTTTTTATTTAAATGCATTAAATAATTACTAACCTGAGTTACTATTATCAAACTCAAAAGTCTGTAAACTACTTAGATCTATCATGTCCTCTGAAATTGTAGTTGAAATGTTAGAATCCGAATCGATAATTAAACTATCGTTAATATTAGTATAACTTTCAACAATGTTCTCTTTGGGTACATCAAAAATACTCATTAAGCTATTTTCAACAGTATCTAAATAATAAATTTTAGTTATGACATATTATAAATTATAATATACTTTATAGTTCATACTACAACCATCGAACATCGTGCCCGCTTATGTTGACTGTTTTTTGTATCATGCTTAAACAAAACAAATCTATATGCTGAATTCTTACTTACTACATTTTCATTATAATTAATATATAAATTATTTAATTTGTAGTGGAGAATATAAACTTACTTAAGAGATTATTTTTTTTCAAATTAGTTATAAATACTTGAATAATAGATTTTATCAAATTCATATAACTTGCTTTAAAATAAACAGTACAGCTCCTATACTAATTAGATCATATAATAACAATAAATAAACTGTAATAAAAATCAGGTTCATAGATTTATTTTGTTACGTGTGTATAACACAGACCCAACACAAGCAGTACAACATTCTCTTAAAAAATTATATAAATAGGTAACATAATATAATTTAAGTTTAAATTGAACATAATAGTTTTTTATGACTATAAGCCAAAACTTACTTGTGGTTTTAAATGACGATGGTGACAGTAATGGTGTAATTTTGTGTGATTCATCAATAACATCCACGTCTTCATTTAATAATAAATTAGAACTATTTGATGATTTGAAGTTTATATCACATGTATTGTCAATATTAGTATCAACAGTGCACATATTAGTTTGGTTCACTGAAAAATAAAATGTTGTACAATATATTATGATTTACATAAAATCAATTAAATTAAACTTTTTGAGATAATATAAAACTGTATAAGTTAATCCATATAGTTATTCATATAGGACAATGAAACAAATCAAACAATAATATTAAAAAGTAAAATAATTACCCTCAAAATCTGAAGACAGTATTTTGGATACCACTTCATTGTCTTTATGTTGCTCTATATCAGAATTATTGGATTTATTAGTATTATTATCATAAAATAGTTCTAGAGTTCTGATGTCGCCTGAAATAAATTATTTATACTTAATCTAATAATATTTTATATTTTGTTTTCAGGAGAAGGGGATTATTCCTAAAATTAGTGATATAAATCAGAACTATGTTTTAGATTGATAGCCAATAACTTTTTTAGATTTACATTTAATTTTGTGACTAGTCAAAAAAAAACTTTTTAATATTTGATTTGTTTATTTTTTTATTATTTTCAAAAATGTGTGATTACTGATTAGTATTTCAAACATAATAAGTAAGACTATGATATATATGCATTGGCATATTTTGTCTTTTGCAATTTCTGATTAATGAATTTGTTTATATTGTCCACAAATCAGGTCACGTTGAAGCAAATAGTGGTTTTATAACTTGAATAAAATGCATATAATTGCAATTACAACCAGAAATACATAAAATGCATAATATATGTATATGGTATAATTTATTCAAAAAATAGCAAAGCATTTAAATTAGTGATAGTGAATTAATTTCTTTCTTATCTTAATTATCATAACTCATGCAATAGTAGATTAAATGAAATATTGTTGTACTGTATATATATGTTTTGACACAGTCGTCATTGTGTATTGTGAGAGTGTTGTGTTGTGTGCTTTTAAAGGATACAATTTATTTATCATTCAAATTGCCAAAAATACAAAGTATCAGTGTAAAACATTGACATTATATAAATCAATTTTCCGTACCGTTTTTAAGACCAATAGAAAAGCACTAGTTTTGGTTTACTTTTGTTTAGTGTTTGTGACAAAGCAGTTGTTATACAAGTGTAATATTTTTTGTATTTTTATAGTTGCTAATAATAAGATAATGACATAATGCACATAATAATAATAAAAAACAAAGAGAAAAATATACACAATGAAGGCTATTGAACCTTAAGAACAGAATTTGATATTTAATCATACTAGTTAATTTAGGAGATCACGGTATCAGTGACTTTAGTGATGATGTGGACGGTTATCAGGAAAAGCGCATGATGATTAAGGCGCCCGGTGACGATGCTATTTTGTCCTCAAAAATACACTCTGCAGGAATAATGATACCGCCTTGTAGACTCAACCGAATTTTATGATTTTTTTATTTTAATTGCTAAAGGATTATATTCTACAGGCCGCATCGATCTCTGTTTTTTAATATTTTATTCTCAAACTTTATAATATGTCAAAAAAAATACAAGATAAAAAGCATTTTTTTTACAAATTTTTTAATACAATTATTTGAAATAAAATACAAAGTCAGAGATTGATGCGGGCTGTAGGAATTCTTCTTTCAGATAAAAAAAATAGTCATCAAAATCCGACAATTCTAGAATGCTTTGTAGTTATTCCCGTAAAGTCAGTTTTTTTCGATATAATACACACTATCAACCCCCAACCCCCTAGATAGGCATCGGGTAGTAGATTGGTGGAAATGTCTTATAATTGAGGTAGATACTAAATAATAAATTATACATTGTTATTCTGAAAAGACGACTTACTTATTTCATTTTTAAGTTGATAATTAAAGTTGATATAACTTTGATCAAAAGGTTCCAGATTAACCGATATACTATTTGACGTAGGACCATTGTCAACTAAAAATAAATAGTTCTATGCAATTATTTTGTTGTGAAAAATCTAAACATAGTTGCTTTATAAAGGATAACTTACTTATTTCATTTTTATTGAAGTTGACACAATTTTCTTCATAAGGTTCAGGATTGATTGGTTTATTTTTTGTTATACTATTTGACATAAAGGCACTATCAGCTAAAAAATAAATACAATTATATACAATGATAATTTAATGCAAAAATTAATTAAACATAGCTATTTAAAAAAAATTAACTTACATATTTTGTTTTCACTAAAATGGACATAACTTTGATCACAAGGTTCAAGGTTAATTGATTTATTATTTGATGTAGACACTTTGTCAACTAAAAATAAATAGTTACATGCAATTATATTTTTGTTTCGGGTAGTAGATTAGTGGAAAAGTCTTAAATTTTATTATACTATAGGTGGCAACTAAAATATAAAATTTTATAGAATTGTGGAGAATTTGAAAAACTGGCACCGGAACCATAATGTAAGATTAGAGGGTTTTGGAAGGTGTTAGAGTTTTGAGTGAAACCTATTGGCTAGTTGGTTAGGTTAGGTTAAATAAAATAAACAGTACCAGTAGTTTATTTGTAACTAAATCGTATCCAGTCAATTTCTTTACATTTAGTTTTATTTGTTTAGTATATTATTTAAAATTAAAACATATAAGTAATTTTTTAAAAAAAATTAATCTATTTAGTTAACATAAAAATAAATTAAAATTAAATGTTACCATTAAATAAAAAAAGGTGGGCAAGTGAGTGTCGCTCTGCTGTACAGCAGTAGCGTATCCAGAATTTTTTTTCGGGAGGGGTTATAATTTTTTTTTTGTGGAATCTTATCTTAAAATGATTTATTAATGAAAACGTTGTTATAATTTAACAATTTTCGGGGGGGGTTACAACCCCCTAACCCCCCCCTGGATACGCCACTGCTGTACAGTATGTTACAAGTGGGTCACTGTATAATGGATGATATTAAATTTGAATTCAACGATAGAATATCATTGTATAAGAAAAACGATTCTGAGCGGAGACGGTATGTCAGTCTAGGTATAAGACATATTATATACATATCAATTGTACTAAACCAAAATTTGACCTATAATAGGTACCTACAATAAATTCCAAATTAATCATATCACAATATCCACTAGGTACTTATAACGCGTTATACATCAACAAAAACCGTGATACTATCATAGATATATAATAGTACACTTTAGAAGTTTCAAGTACCCACGAATAATATTATTCAATCACAACAAAATAACTAAAATAGTTATTCTAGGTTTTTTAATATGTAATTTCGTCCAAATTTGAATTTAAAATGTCTGTAAAAAATAACTGTGTTCATATATTTTGGTTACAGTATGAACCATTTATGAGAACCTTTGTTTTAAATGTGCAATCCTTAGCTATAAAAACTGAACATTTTAGAATTTATTAATTACGATGATTAATAATTTTCGAGATTTTGAAAAATTCTGTCAAAATTCGATCTTTAAATGCTTATAAAAAAAAACTGTGCCTATGTATTTTTAATATTTTTCAACTGCTATTGTAACAATATATCAGGAGCCTTGTATTAAATTTTTACACTTTTTGGCCCAACAGATAAAACTTTATTGATATTTGTAGAAAAAAAAACTAAAAAAAATTGAAAGCGGTAAATGTCCATAAACAGCTCAAAAAGAGTCAAAATATTTTCAAAATTGTATGGTGTATAGAAAATGCTAATTTAAACATTCAGTGAAATTTTCATGTATCTACAGTTGTTCGTTTTTGAATTGCAACAAAATAAGGAAATCGCTACATGAGTAATCGAGTGAAAATCCAATGTTGTAAAAATTTGAATTTCAAACGCTCATAAAAATTTAATTTGACTGTCCGGTAGAGATTTTTTTATTGATAAAGGTAGATAATCTTATAAGGAATCTTGTGTTTCATTTTCAAATCTTAGATTTAAAAAGAAAAATTTTTACGAATTCTTAACTCAAAATAATTTGCTAATTTTCGTGATTTTCCATATTTTGTCAATTTTTGAACTTTAAATGCTTATAAAAAAAAATTGTGACTAAGGATTTTTAATATTTTTCATCTGCCTTTGAAACAACATATAAGGAGCCTTCTATTAAATTTTCAAGCTTTCGCAACCAACAAATACAATTTTATTGATATTTTTAGAAAAAAAACTAAAAAAAAATGGAAAATGAAAATGTCCCTAAACAGTTCAAAATAAATCAAAATATTTTGAAAATTTTATCGTGTATAGAAAATGCAAATATAAACAACCAGTGAAAATTTCATGTATCTACGGTCATTTGTTTTAAAGTTACACCAAAAACCAAATTCGATTTTGTCAAAAACTGATTTTGCGTAAAAATTCCCGTTTTTCCTTAATTTTTATGTTGTTTTTCCCGGCGCTTGTGAAAACTATTGGGAATTTTAAATTTTGACCTCCCCAATGCACCAACGATATTCACTTTCCAATCGAACAAGATACTGAAGTCGAAAATCGAAGCATTATTTCGACTACTTATCGTGTACACAGACACAAAAAAAAAAAAAAAAAATAAAAAAAAAAAAACACACATCATTGTAAAATCAATACATTCATCGTTTCACTCAGAATCTAAAAAAAAAAAATAAAAGAATAAAAAAAAAAATATAAAAACACACATCATTGTAAAATCAATATATTCATCGTTCCACTCAGAATCTAAAATTTTAAAATTTTAATTTAGAGAAAAGTAGAAACAAACACTCAATCATATTTTGAAGTATACATAAAGTCTCAATTTTTTATATTTGACTGGACAATAAAACTTAAAATATTTTGATTGTAAGATTTGCACAAAATTAAAACCAAAATATAATATTATATAAACAAAATTAACTTACTACCTTGTGATTCTGTTTTTATTATTTCAACTTCGGTTTTTAGTTGTCTTATAAATGATTCAGTAACAATAATAATGTTATCATCTTCAGTATTTGTTTGCACACATTCACTTGTTGTAGAATCTATAAACACAAATATAATGGGGTTGATTATACAATAATGTTTCATTTTTACTAAATATTCGGGCTTGATGTAGGGAATGCTTAAAAGTTTCTTGATATATAAAATAGTGATTATAAATTATTGTTAATTAGTAGTATAGATAAGTACCTCTCTTTTAATTGAAAAAAAATTAATAGTTAGTTAGTACAGTAGAATATCGGTAATTTGTAAGATATCAGAACAGAGAACTATTTATTTTCGGAATAATATTAATGGAGGTTCACATAAAACACATTTTTACTCATTGCAAAACCGAAATTGATTTTATAAAGAACATAATATGGTATACTAATTTATAACTGTGTTAAATTAATTGTTTGATGGCAGGTCTCAAAAAATTATTTAACTTCAAGTTTCTCAACCAAAGTTAAAGTACTATTATTTAGCTTACTTTGTTGCGACATTTAAATTTAACACGTAATAACTAATCGATACACAAAACATACCCACAACATGTTAACTAAATAAAAATAAAACATCTAATTGGTTCATTTCAACTAAAGGGGATTCGATACCGTGATTTTCTGTTTTTGTCTAACACACTTGAAGTAGTATTTTAGACGTGTTTTTTGAAAAACATACCAGTTGATCTAATGAAGCGATAAGAATTATGAAATAGATTTGATTTTATCGTCAAGTATACTTGAAATTGACTTTCCCACATTTTTGATATTATCCCCCAAATTCCTAAAAAAATTAATATTAAAAAAGAGTATTTGAAAATTGTTATATTTAAATTTTCTTCTTCTTCTTCTTCTGGGCTTTTACAGGCCTTAAGGCCCATTTCCGCAACAACATATTGTTTCCATTCTTCTCTATCATTTGCACATTCTTCTGTGTTTCTTACGTTCAGGAGTTTCAAGTCTTCCTTTACTCTATCCACCCATCTTTGTCTGGGGCGCCCTCGAGGCCTCTTAGTGTCGGGTTTCCATTTACTTATTGATCCAATCATTCCCTCTGATCTCCATACATGTCCCGCCCAACTTATCCTCGTACTCTTCAGGGACCCAACAATTGTAGGTTCCTTGTATAGATCATCCAATTCCCTGTTGCCTCTCACCTCATACTCTCCATCATTATTTCTCTTTGGACTGAAGATTTTCCTTAATATCTTTCTTTCGAAAATTCCTAACTTTCCTTTGTCCGATTTTGTCGTGAACCATGTACTACATGCATACAGGGCAACCGGTTTGACTATGACTTTGTATAACATTATTTTAGACTTTATTGATAGTAATCTTGATTTGAAGAGTGGCATTAGACTATAGTAGCATCTATTTGCTGCTGTAATTCGTTTTTTAACTTCTTTGTGGCTATTAGCATTTTCATTGATCTCTGGGCCCAGATATTTGAAGCTCTGTACCCTTTCAAATTTCTAATCATCAAATTTTAAATAGCTAATATTGTGATTTCTTCTCGATAGTATCATATATTTTGTTTTTGACTCATTTATCTTCAAACCAATCTCTTTACCTTCATTTAGTAGAATGCTAGTTGTATTCCTCAGATCGTTCTCTGATTCGGCAATGAGAACTATATCGTCAGCGTAAGCCACTACGGTTAGTTCATTATTGTTGTTCATTTTTATTCCTTTGGCTTGGATTAGTACCTTTCGTATAACTGATTCTAATGCGATATTAAACAAAGCTGGCGATAGAGTGTCTCCCTGTCTGAGTCCGGTCGACACTGGGAACTCATCTGATACCTCTCCTCCAAAACTTACTTTACTTTTGGACTCATATGCACTCATTTATCATTCTGACTAATTTTGCTGTTATTCCCATTTTGTTAATTACATTCCACAGTTTTTCCCTATTAATCGAATCGTATGCTGCTTTGTAATCTATGAACATAAGGTGTATGTCTTTATTGACTTTGTGACTCTTCTCAGCTAATTGTTTGATGATATGGATTTGATCAACAGTTGATCTCCCTATCATGAACCCAGCTTGGTATTCTCCTATTATTTCTTTAATATATGGATTGATTCTGATCAGAAGAATGTTAGATAGAATCTTATAAGTTGTGTTGAGTAAGGAGATCCCCCTATAATTTTCGCACTCCATGATATCTCCTTTTTTAAAAACAGAACATAGGACAGATACTCTCCACGATTCGGGTATTTCTTCTTGTTCCTATATTATGTTTATTAATTTATGAACTTGGTTAATTAAGCATGGTCCACCCTTTTTTAAACATTCTGATACTATTTCATCTACACCTGGTGCTTTACCATTCTTAAGCATATTTAATCCCGTTTTTAATTCATTTTTTGACGGGGCTTCGAGTAGCTGTTCTACAGTCGTTAACTTGTTTACAGTGATATTAATTATTGGCTGGTTCAAGAGCTTTGTAAACATATCTTTGAATTCGCATGCGATCTCTTTGTTGTCTGTTAGGAGGGTTATATCACTTTTCCTCATAACATTTGGTCTGGGCTTGTATCCATGTCTTACTTCATTTGCTTTTCTAAAAAATATTTTTGAATGGCTACTTCTATTATTTTCTATATTTTGTATGCGTTCTTTTTCCCATAGTCTCTTATTCGATCTAATCACCTTTTTTACCTCTCTTTGTTTAAATGTCAACAATCTTTTGTTATCTTCATTGGGTTCATGTAGTACTTTCATTCGGGCTCTATATTTTTCATGTAAAGCTCTTTTACATTCTTCATTGAACCACATTTTCCTTGTTTTTCTGGTATGTACCCATGTACATTACTTCAGCTATGGTTTTTACTGTTTGTTCTATTTCTTTCCATGTTTCACTTATATTTGGTCTTTCTTGTATATTCTGTATTTTCGACATCAATTTTTCTTGATATACTTTAGCTGTTGATGTTTTCAGTGCATCTCTATCTATTTTCCCTTTGTGTTTCTGCTTCTTTCACCAATCTGTAGATATTCTGATGTTTATTTTTGCTCTAACGAGGAAATGATCTGACATAGCACTACTCCCTCTCATGCTTCTTACATCTCTTATACAGGACTTAATCTGAGAATCAACTATTATGTGGTCTATTTGGTTTCTTACATATCCACATGGTGAAATCCATGTTTGTTTATGAATATTCTTGTGCAGGGAAACATGTGGAACTTATAGTCATATTCCTGGCAGCTGCAAATGAGATCAACTTATAGCCCTTGTCATTAGATTCTTCATGTAAGCTTTCAGATCCAATTTTTGGTTTATATATCGTTTCCTTTCCAATTTTTGCATTAAAATCTCCAATCACTATTATCGGTTTATCAGCTGGTAAAGAATTGTATGGCATGTCCAAACTATCATAGAATTCGTTTTTTATCTTCAGTGGGTGAATAACAGTTTATTAGGATCAAATTGTGCCACTAACATTTAAGTTCTATATAACATATACGGTCATTTATAGGTTTGAAATTTGTAATTTGTGGTAGTAAATTGTCTTTAATTATAAACCCTACACCTCGTTCGTGTTTGTCCTCACCGCTGTAAAACAGAGACTTCCTAGAGACTTCAAGCTCCCTGAACTTGTCCATCTTACTTCTTGAATAGCAGTTATATCCAGTTATATTTAAATTTTCGGAGAAGTTAAAATATAAAATGTGGGAAAGTCGATTTCAAGTAGACTTGACGACTAATTCAAATCTGTTTTTACAATTCTTATCACTTCATTAGATCAATTGGTGTCTTTGGCAAAAAACACGTCTAAAATACTAATTCACGTGTGTATTAGACAAAAACAGAAAATCAATGTATCAAATCCCCTTAACCAGTTAATATTGATATACGGTTATTATAAAGAAATAATAAAAATAAAATATACCCAGATTACTGGGCATAACAGATGATAACACAGCCAGATTACCGACTATAATTATAATTTATAATCAACTATTAATACAATATTGAAAAAATGAATATATAAATACCTGTGACTTTCAATGATTTCCTGGTTTTACTGTTATTTTGTGATATGCTATTACACGGATTAGAGTCATGGACTGTTTTAATATGATTATATAAACTCGATGGTTCTTGTTTAATTTCCTCAAATGTATTTAATGCTAAAATTTGAAAATAATTAAACAATAAAAATATATTTCCAAAACTAATCTTTATTCAGGATGAATTTGGCAGTTAAAGTGTATATGACTGCTATATAGTGAAGTCACCGCCTGAGCATTAGCTAGCTACCAAATATATTTCTTAACATGAAGACTGAATAGAGAATATGTAATAATTTATGTATAGTAAAATGTTAGAAGTACTAAAATATATTATTAATGACTCAAATAAAACTGTGCAAACTTACATTGTATATTAGACTTATTGTTAATAGGATATGATTTTTTGTTTAAATAAGTTCTCATTTCAAGATCTAAAACATAACAAATATTAAATAAAAACATGAAAAATGTTAAACTTATGTTAATTTTTACTTTTGTCAAATGCCGGACATAATATATCGTCTGGATAAGAAATACAAGTGGATATTTCGTCCACTTCATCTGAGATAAAATAAAAACAAATTATCACAAAAATACATAAAATAAAATAATTAGTTACTTACTTTTTGTACTATCCTTTATTTGAAAATAATCAATTTCTGGATCAGAGTCTGATTCAAATAATGAAGGTGTGCCTTTTTTATAATCAGTATCTAGTTGTTTTCCAGAATATGGAGAAGAAATATCATTTGTAAAAACTGAAATACACATAAATAACAAATATTTATATAAATTAAATTAAATTATTTGTTCATACTGATAAAACTAGAATATATTTTTATTTTTATTAAAAACTAGTGACAGATTACTGGACCTTATTGATATAAAATTGTGGGTTATCTAAATTCTGTGAATAAATAGAGATATCTAAAATTATTAAATGTAATAATAAAAATAATAGATAAAATAAATAGTAATAATAAAAATTCATATAAAATATTAGATATTATTTAATTAGTTAAACACGGTGTAAAAAAAATCAATAAAACATAATAGTTTATGTTGAAACCGAGTTAAAATCTTAAAATAGGCAGCATGAGAAATGGGTTTGGAATAGCAAAAATTGAATTTTGGTTCAATTGGTAGGTATTATATTGAATAACTGGGTCCCAGCAAGATTGAACAACCATTTGACAAACTGTTTTATATAAGCATATAGGCAGGGCTGTGTATTTAATGCGCCATTTTCATTAAAAATTTCACAAAAATGCAATAAAATAGGGTATTTAATTATATTTTTATATTTAAATTAATATTATAGGATATTAGTAAATTACATTTAAATGCATAAAAGTGTATTTATTAAAAGTGTATTAAATAATTAAAAAACTAATAAAAATTACCTACTATAAAATTATTAATCAACCAACTTAATCTGGAAATTCATTACGATGTATAATATGTCACAAATGACTTATCTAGTTATCTAGCAATTCCTGTATTTTAACAACGTGTATACAGCTGGTGTTCAAAAACAAAAAAAGTTTTTTTAAATATTTCAGTTGACAGAATTTAATTAAAAATACCGAGAAATAAACTAAATGTTTTTGAACATATTTTTTTACATAGTTAAAAGTTGTTAACAACCCAACGTTTTTATTAAAAAAACATATTTTTAGATTCTGAGTGGAACGATGAATGTATTGATTTTACAATGATGTGTTTTTTTTTAATTTCTTTTTGTGTCTGTGTACATCATAAGTAGTCGAAATAATGCTTCGATTTTCAACTTCAGTATCTTGTTCGATGGGAAAGTAAATATTGTTGGTTCATAGGGGATGTCAAAATTTAAAATTCCTAGTAATTTTCAAAAGCGCAGTGAAAAACAAAAGAAAAATTGGATTTAATACGTGAAATAAACTTTGGTTTTTGGTGTAACTTTAAAACAAATGACATATAGATACATGAAATTTTAAATGGTTGTTTATATTTGCATTTTCTATACATGTTAAAATTTTCAAAATATTTTGATTTGTTTTGAAATATTTAGGGACATTTGCAGATTCAAATTTTATTAGTTTTTTTTTCTGTGAATGTCAATAAAACTTTATTTTTTGAGTAAAATTGCTCGAAAATTTAATACAAGGCTCCTACTATATTTTTACACTGTCATTTGAAAAATATTAAAAATCCTCAGTCACAGTTTTTTTTTATAAGCATTTAAAGTTAAAATATTGACAAAATTTAAAACAAGATTCCAAGTAAATAGGTTATATATAGGGCTGGGATTTGTATGTAAATACATATTTTTAGTGAAACACGATAAATTAATTATTGCAAATGATAAATACGTTGCACGTGATTTGCAATAAAATAAGACATATTTTATTTTACATATTTCGTCATAAATACATATTTTTACATACTTTGGAAAATTTTCGTTTTTATTTACATACTTCGTAAATTTTGAGAATTTCAGTGGTTTAGTAATATTCAAAAATAACTATCCAAACATCTCGCTTCCTCCAGAGCCAATTATAACAAGATGGGGGACATGGTTACAAGCCGTAAACTATTATTCCAAATTGTATGATGAAATTAAAAATATAGTATCTATGTTGGATTCTGAACATGCATCATCAATTTCCAAGGGAAAAGAAATTTTTGAGAGACCTAATATAAAGTCTGCTCTATCATATATTGTGTCTAATTTTAGTTTTTTGGGTGGATCAATTTCAAAATTAGAAAATACCAAGATTCCGTTGAGTGAAAGCATACAAATTATTGATTTATCAATTTCAAAAATTAATGAATCAGAGGGCCCAACAGCAGAATTATTAAAGAATAAAATGAACGTTGTTTTAAACAAAAATTTGGGACTGAAGACTATTAAATGTATAAGAAACATTCTTTGTGGTATTGCGGATGAAGACACGATGGAGCTCAATCTTCACCTAGTGAAATAACAGCCATGAAGTATGCTCCGATAACATCTTGTGATGTGGAACGCTCCTTTAGTAGGTATAAGTCATTGTAGCCAAGCTTTGGAATACGAAGTTAAAACTCTATGTTGTCATTCAAAAAAGTAAAAAATTAAATAAGTGTAAAGATAAAAAGTATTTAAAAACATTGTTTTTTTAACAACTTAGAACTATGTAAAAAAATATTTTCAAAACATTAATAGTTTTTGAAAAAATGAGTGTTTCATGATAAAATAATCACCTTGTTGTTCCTCCATGTTTCAAATGGCACAATATGTTGTGTTTTTAAGGTATATAGTATAATATGTTTTAAGGTATAGGAATTTATATAAATTATATTAAACTCTTCAAACAATTTTTGGTCAGATATCTATAGTATCCCTTTCATTTTTGATAATGATAATTATATTTTGGCAAATTTAAGTCTGTATAAGCATTATAATAGGCCCTACCCAACCTAATACACCATGTACAACTAAATTTAACAATTGCTAAATATATTGTTCTAGTATCCTGAAATGGTAGAATATATCGCAATGGATTTTAGATTCTGAGCGGAGCCAAAAATGTATTAACTTTACAATAATTTGTTGTTTTTAAATTTTTTTTTCTTGTTATCATATTTTGGAGCAGTTAAATCACTAAAATTTGGAAATTATTTTTTGGGTTAAAATTAATAAAATCTTAAACACCTGACTTGAAAATCTATATCTTATGTATAAAAATAATTGCTGTTTGTTTGTCTTGCTAAAACTCGAGAACGGTCGGACCGAATTTTATGAAAATCAACCTGAAAAGTAGGAAATCTGGATGAAAAAAATACAACGGTGGCCCAAAAGTGTATTATAATTTATATTGGTTGCTAATGGTTAATCAGGCATGTTTGTTGATTTGTATTTTTTTTTTTTGTCAATATATATATTATAAATAAATGAATATTTGTGTGTAGATTAGACCTCTGGGAAGAAGAAAGGCTTATTTAAAAATGCTTAAATTTTGGTTTTTTTTTATTCATCTGATATTAGTACGTTTCGGATTTTGTATTAACTGATTATATTATATCCATCATAGGTGGAATAAAACAAACTTGGTATAACTTTAATACTTTAGAGTTATATCATATACTTAAGTACAAACATCACGGGGTCCGCGATCTACCGCAGGTAAATTGCCTACCTGATAATATACTGAGAATCTGAATTTTTAATATTATTCCGGGCAACGGAAAAGTTAAGATAAATTTTGAACACCATACACCGAATATTAAATGACGAATTGAAGAAAGTTTGAGTCATATAGAGATGGTACATTTAACGGGAAACGAAGTGCACAGGATCAGCTAGTTTGATATAAAATGTTTCACAAGATTATATTTACTGGAAATTAAAAAAAAAAATTAGTGTTAGCATAAAATATTTTTTTAATTGATCAAATTTCAAATCTTAATGATATTCAAACGTTTAATAATAGTTAATCCTCAATCAATTTTATTTTTTTATTTGTGTCTATGTGCACGATAAGTAGTTGAAATAATGCTTCGATTTTCAACTTCAATATCTAGTTCTAGTTTCTAAAGTGAATCTAGTTAGTGCATTTGTGAGGTCAATTCACAGTAACCGGGATAAGCAACATCAAAAATTAAGGAAAACCGGGAACTTTTACGCAACATCGATTTTGGTTTTTGGTGTAACTCTAAAACAAATGACCGAAGAAACAGAAATTTCCTCTGGTTGTTTATATTAGCATTTTCTATACACAATACAATTTTCAAAATATTTTGATTTGTTTTGAACTGTCAATGGACATTTTCAGTTTCCAATTTTTTTGTTGGGTAAAAAAGCTTGAAAATTTAATACAAGGTTCCTGATATATTGTTACAATGTCAGTTGAAAAATATTAAAAATACAGTCACAATTTTTTTATTACCAGCATTTAAAGTTCAAATTTTGACAAAACACGTAAAAATTACCAAAATGTGCAAATAATTATGTGTTAGAAATTTATAAAAATTTTCCTTTCTAAATCATCAATTTGAAAATTTAATACAAGATTCCTTATAAGTTTGTATAATTTTATAAAAAAAATGTCAACCGGAAATTCAAATTAAATTTTTATTTCACTCTTCTTAAGAATATAATTTAAATTTTAAGTATTGAATGGTCTCATATATCTACATATTTTTTTTTACAGATAATTATAAAAGTTTACAATTATTTGATATTATTTTTTAAGTATATGCACATAAATATTTTAAAGATAGAATGTACATGTATGAAAAACTAAAAATATTTATACATACCGAAACCAAGTTGCAGCGTATTTGTAATTTTTGTATTGATTTTGTTTGAACGTTTTCTATTCTTATTAGCTAAACATAATGAATAAATATAAAATAATTTATTTTTTTATAAGTAAATAAAATAGTAAAATGTGTAATCTAACAGAGCTTATTATAAATAATATATATACAGTGGTGAGGCGTGAGTCTTTAGGTAAGGGAGATGTTGAAAAAAAATCAAGCATAATGACACTATTATTGATTCTCATATATTTTAGACAATAACCCACAATAAACAAACTTTAAATTAAAAACCAGCCACAATAACGAGTTTGTAGTGGTCGACAACTACTGAAAAATAAAACGAAAATATGAACGACAAGACACATCTCATAACACAAAAATAACCCCCACTCACTTTCCAATTACTAACGCATATCATTTCAGAGCAGAGACGCCTCATATATATTTTCATAGTGAATTTATACTGTATTTGGATGTTTAGTGGAATGACTATTAATGTTAGTAACTAGCAAATAATGTGTGGGGCCTGCAACTAGTCTATGCTAAGAACACTAGCTATAATTGAATAACAAAAAAAAGCGGGTAAGTGGATGTCGCTCTGCTGTGGGTCAATGTATAATGGATTGTATTAAACTCGAATTCAATGATATAATGTATAAGAAAAATGATTCTGAGCGGAGAGGGTTTAACAGTCTGGCTTTTTTAAATTTTTATTATTTATTATAGTCTTTAAGTTGAATTAATATTATAATATTGTAATTTTTTATTCGTAGCTACGGTGATAAACAAATTGTTAGAAATTAAAAGCTCATTTTTAGCGGTTTTTCGTAATTTGTCAGTAGTTTTTCCCGAGGCATTATATAACTATTGAGAAAATCGAAAAATTACGTCTCTAAAGTACCATCTTGATCCAATTTGCTAAAAGACAAGGTAATATACGTTGAAACGAAATACTTTTTCTGGTAGAAATTTTATATACAGGATATATAAAAAAATAAACACCATTGTAAAACTACTAGCTTCCTTGCTCCACTCAGAATCTAAAAGAAAAGATTTTGACAAATATTGAAATAAGTATATACCTATAGTATATTATTATGATATTAAAATTTGTAAAATAGATATTTTATTACATTTATTATTTAAATTATTTGTCTACATTCTAAATGGGTGGATTACTGTCTCCTATGATGATTTTTCACTGTATATAATAATATATTATATATATGTTATTTAAATAAATATTTTAATACCTTTTACTGATTTAATTCTTATATTGTCATTTCTGGAACATTTATCTTCTATGACACTTGTTTCTACTAATTCATTGTTGTTTATACTTGTTAGTTGTTTTTTTAGTTTATTTCTCGTCATAATATAACCATTTGGTGCTGTCAGGACTGCATTATTTATATCTACTTGAGAATGTTTAATGGATTTTTTCTTTTTATCTACAAAATATTTAAATACTTAAATAATCATTAGCAATCACAAACTATTCATGAAGACAAGATAATATACAAAAATATATTAAATTAAAATGGTTGTATTTATTTTAGTAGAAGTGGGTAATATTATTAATATATTAATATTTTTATTAACCTATATGATCATATAATAAAAATGAAAAGCTATTAGTTGGTAAGTGCATCAATCAAGAATGGCTGGACCGATTTTAATCTATTTTTTTAATTGTTTGTAATATTTCAAATAAAGTTTTTACGGAAAGAAAAATCAGGAAAACTGAAAGGTCTTTTTTATATAAATGATTGTCACAAAGTTACATAATATAATGTAATTGATAGGGTATAATAATTTTAACTTATAATTTGTATATATATATTTGATCACTATATTTTTAATCCGCGTTGGTTTATCCAAAGATAATAGACACAAAAACTACTGGACTGTTTTCAATAAAAAGTTATTATAAATGTTTAATAGGTACCTATACTAAATGTATAAGTTCATCACATAATAAATAATAAATAATAATAATAATGCATAATTGTTTTTTTTTTTTTCATTTAAAATAAAATAGAAAAAAAAAATAGGTATAATAGGTATATCATCATAAATAACCTAATAATTACTCACAGTGAAAATCATCAGTTATGTCATTCTCTGATGTTCTTAAAAACGACCTTTTTCCATTTTTATTTTTAATGCTTGATGTTGTCTTACGATTTGGTGACTGTTTGCCTTTAAATGGTAAAATAAAAATGAGACCAGTAAAATATATAAACATCTAATGAGAGTTCATTGAATAATACATTTTACGATGTTTGTCATAAACACACAGCACATAGTACTGCAATTTTTTCATGTTATGACATTATTATGTTTAAGGTAGTATATCATATACTTACTAGGACTCGGACTCATGGTTTAAGTTTGAATTTCAAATCACCAGCGCTTAAAAATAAAGTCTCTGAAATTAAAACCAAACGTCCGGTTTAGTTTCACGCGGTTATTGCATTGCAATCACAGCCGAGTAGTACCTATTACACCGACAAGGACGAGCCAGGCGAAAAGCATGCTTTTAAATCTTAAATCCACATGTTCAGCCGAATCAAGGATAAACGTAGGTAAACGTTTAACCGATTGCCGCCTTTATAATAATTACTAACGAACAAGCGGGGCGCAAATAGAGGTAACGAGGCGCATGTTACGGATAAAATATGAAAAACGTTTTTATAAACAATAATATTATTATCGTAGCTATTAGAAATTAGAATATTCGAATAATGTTGAAATTCAGAACGACAAAGAGTCGACGTTCCCTGTAATCAGTATTCACTCACTTTAAAGCCG